AGTAGTCTAATCACTCGTCTACTGCGTTCCCTTAGTTCTAATTAAAATGCTTCCTTGCAATCTTGCCGCTTAGTATTGCCTCTGTCTGGAAAGTGCACAGAACCGTTAAGAAAGCTGTCTGTCTTTCCCCCACCCCCTTTACAGCTAATCCCTTAATCTCTCAAAAGGTTGAACAGTGCAGCTGCTTTACCCAAGAGGAGAGGGCACTACCTGTTTGGGTAGTACCTGTGCCACAGGAAAAGAAACCTCGCACTCTTGACTCTTGAATTAAGTTAGGGTTCAAGTCAATCAGGGAAGGCCCACTGATGGGTTTTATCTCTTGGCATAGGTAGTGCAAATACACCCATCCCAAAGAACCTGGAACCTGCAATGCTGCTGATGCAGGACAGCCTGCTAAAATCAGGGTCCCTGAATTACCTAGTCCTTAAATTCCCCATTCCTTTTTTTTTTTAAAAAGTTGGATGTTAAACAAACTAATGCCCAATTCAAAACTCTGTTTCTGGTTCTGCATATTTTACAAGTAGTATGCATGAGTCTGACACAAAGCTAGCCTAGCCTGTAAAGCCCAGGCTTAGATTGCTGCTTAAGGTTGCAGTAAACTCTATGAATAAACAGCAAAATGCTAGTGAATTATTCTGAGTCAGCCAGTAAAAGCTTGATGAGTTGATTACGGTTTGTCAGCACAGGAAACAGAGCCGACTTAGCCACTACAACAAAAGTATCCTAGAAAAGAAAGACTGAAATTCAGATCTTTAGTAAAGAAAAATAAATGAGGTTTCTATTTTTGAAGATACGCACACTCATCTTTAATGTTCACCGTACCTGCATCCACATCTGTCCCATTCCGATCCTTCATGTTTTTGGGTTCTGGCACTGCTTCCCTGGCTTTTGCAAAATTGTGATTATTCAGGATCAGGCACACTCCACGGGGTCGGCTAGTCATTTTGTAAGCTTCAAGCTGTTGAAAAGAAAGACTAGTGGTGAAACTACTGCACTCTCCTCCAGGTGCTTCTCAGCCCTTGCTAGCGGCACAGCAGGGTAAAGAGCCAGCTGGCTTTCTCTCTAGGCAGCCCTCCCGATACAGCTTTGCTCCCAGGACCTGGCAATGCACTGCCCCACCTCCTTTGGGACTCTGTGCACAGCATGACAGCATTCCCCCAGACACAAGTCATCATGGGGTACTGCGTTCACCCACTTCTCCATGCCCAGCCATCTGCGTATTTCCTGGTATAATAAACTTGTCCTATTTTGCTACCCTTGCAAGTCTTTCTGCAGTTTTAACACTGCAGCAGCTGCTACCTTGTGACTTGGCTTCAGAATAAAGGATGTTACAGAGTGGTGCATTTTTTTTTTCTAGCCAGTGCTTTTAACAGTTGGGCTTATAGTAACTGTTCACCTCATCGAGGCATGATGTCTTCTAAGACAAAATGATGATGTTTCCAAGAAGCAAACTGACTTACCTGGGAAGATTCTTTCCAACTGCCAGGAGAATCAAGTGCCACAGAGGATGCCAGCCATCTGGCATGGGCTGAATATAGACAAAAAAGTTTAAGTACAGAATGTAGCACCAGTGAAAGGAGAGAAGCTCTATTCCTATTCTGCATCTCCACAAGTACCTCCTTGTGGAAGTACTACAAAAACCTAAGTTGTGGTTGAACAGCTGTTCCCATTAGCTATAAACCACTGATAATCAATTAAAAGGAATAAAATGTATTGTGAACATAAGTAAGTAACTGGATACCTGATCACTTTTTAGAGAGGCACCTGTGTAAAGAAGTGAGATGCGAGTGGTCTAGAGAGTCCAAAAGATGAAGAGAAAAAAATCTAAACATTCGTTTTTTGAGTTTCAGTTACCTTCAGGGCCTCCAGTACTGCCCCTCTGTTCCTCTGTAATGAGCATTTCTTCTCCACCTGAAAAGCATTCATTATTAGTTCTCTATGATACCTATGCATCACTTCAAGAATAACTATGGGAATGAGTCCTTTCTGTTTTGTTTTACCAAATAGGTTTAATTCATATTCTTCAATTCTCTTCAACAGGCTGGTGTTAATTTCTGCACAGAGACTCTTCAGGATATTTAGGTTGTCTTCTCCCAAAATCCCCTTCTTCTCCATTTCAATGAAAACGTCGAGCATTGTCTGGGTAATCAGAAAGGTAGTTTGCTCTTAGGGCACATCCATGCTGCCACTGGAAGGGAAGGTGCAGCATGTGCCAATGCACCTAAGCTTTAATATACTGACAGCACCTGAGACCCACAGTCAGCCCAGCTGACTGGTAGCTCAGTTGAGACCTCAGCTGAGTCAGTTAAACTTGGTGCAACCAAACCTACAAGTACTGTAAGTACAAGCATCTTCTCCAAACATACTCATTTCCCTTCTGCAGCTCAGGGATGCTGAGATCCGTTAAGATCTAACCCAGAAGACCTAATGGTAATCATAGAGGAATATATAATGTCATTTCTAATGACTGCTTTCATTCATTTGACTTCCAGTGGCTGGCTTGTGCCCTTAACTGAAACACAAGAATCACTGCAGTGACCATCTTAAGCAATGACAAAAATGGGTATAACCATGCAAGTATGGTGTAGAGATTGCTCTGATGCGAAAGGGGACCTAGGGGACAGAAGCTCTTGCCAAACAGTGAGTGGCACAGCACAATGGTCACCCCAAGGATTACTAGAACAGCTATCACTAAATGGCCACAGTCCCTCCTCTAGGAAAAGAGGGAAAATGCTAAGAGAGTTTTCACTAGACAAAACAAAGTACCCATCAGTCAGAACTGATAGTGTAAGAGCAACTGGATCTCCTGCAAGGCTATTTGTAAACTCCAAGCTCTTGGGCCTTAGCCTTGGTAAGGATCTGCTGCTTGGATTTGTATTTTCTGAGTTTGGAAATAAACCAAACAAAAGCGTAAGTAATAGCCACAGTGGGTGATTTTCTGTGTTTGATAATGGCTTAGAAAGCAGCCAAAAGAAAATCAGTTGGGCAAGATGAGTGAATGTGCTCATCAGTCTTCCATTGATCAAAGCCACTGAGTCCCCTAAGCCCCGTATGGTGCTTGGACATGAAGGCCTCTGTGGCTGGCACAGGGCTGGCCCATGCTGTCTGGGCTGTGACATGGCTGCAAAAGCTACACGTAACACTAGCACAGACAAGTCCCATATGCACCAGAGAGCCTATAATCCCTTCCCAGGTGTGCCCTTTTTCTTATGGTGTTTTCACCATAACAAAAAATTGACACCATAAGAAGAGTGACACTCATTCCCCTCAGAGCAACCCAAATACCTCTATGGATTGGAATAATCATTTAAAAAAATAATTAAAGAAATCCTTACAATTTTAGGGTTTAGCCTGCATTTTGGTAATTCTTTCCCCAAAAGAAACTTGAAAGACTTCAGCTCATCTTCAGTGATGTCTTCTGACAGCTGAAAGAGCAGGTATCTAGAAAGAGAAGTGAAAGACACTGTTTCATCGTGTTCCTAAGCATGTCCCGTTGGACAATTTAACACGCTACTGTTGCACTGCCCACTTCGCCCACTCCCTTTGCCCCTGCAAGCACACATCCCCCTTTTTAACTGGGGGGACATCAGCCTGAAGTCAAATCATTTTCAGCCGCAATTAAAAATCTCAGTTTTCCTAAAATCAAAACCACGCTGCAACTTCGTGGTGTTGAGAACAAAGACTCACACCTAGTCAACTTATCGCATCCCGCAGCACCGGGCAGGGCGGCGTCGGGGGACTATTAAGCATTTCAGAAAGGTGCGGCTTTAGTTCTCCCCCTCTTACTGGACAGAAATTTCCAATTTTCCCTACGGCTTGCACCTGGTTTCTCCTGGAAGATGTTTGTGTGCTTCCAAACCTTATCCTGGCGTTCCAATCGCCGGTAAAAGCTTA